ACCCAAAACAAAAGTGAAAGTCCACATGCTCTTGATAGACATCTTTCCTGGCAAAAGAAAACAGATGAGTATTAAAATTTTAAAGCTATCTTATCTGAATACCTCTCCTCGGCACCTCAGCATATCTATGCCCTGTATACATAGCGCTTCAGAAACATCATCGGCTTAGATTTTACTTTCAATGTCTCGTTATTGAACCATGATATTTTTGCCTAAACGACTAAGCGTTCCATCGGTCACTATGGCTATAGCATACTATGGCTATAGCATTCTGCACTATTTTACCAATAAGAGCACCCAAACACCCTTTGACAAACTTATGAATAAATTACCAAAATAATTTATAACTTACACTACCTCAGGAGTGTTTTAGCTGTTTACATCACTGCTCAAAATGACACGATGTAAATTAGTCGATATTCCTGCAATAAGATTGTTCACTTTTAATTCTTAATGCTGTTTCTAAACGTTTCTTGTAGTGAAAGCAGCACCTGCACATTTACACTGACTACTAATTCATCATCGTTATGACGCTCACGGTGATAGAAAAGAACGTTCGGTTACTCCTATGTCAGTTCGAGTAGCATTCCATGTAACGTTCTTTGTGAAAAAGTTACCTTGGACGCTGAAAAAATTAAACAATGTAAACAGAAAAATTGAAAATTCTTCTTCCTAAACATTTAACTAAGAAGTCAGTTGCTCGTATCACGATGCACAGCGTTATGTTCCCTCATATTTTTTTTTTCATTGCACTTTTCTCTTGTAATGAGGCAAAGACTCTTCTTAAATCATTATTACCAGACTTAGAACACAGAAAATCTACAAGATTACCTGAATGGTGACTGCTTCCTTTCTCCACTTGAGTGTTTTTATGCCGCAGTCGCATTTACATATACAACAAATATTTTATTCACTTATACAGCAATAAAACCGTAACAGATGTTTCAAGCTGGTAGAGTTATATGTAAGTTACTAACGTGGAGGCTCGACATATATTTATCTCAAGTAGCTTCTGAAGAAGGGTTGTTCAACTTCTTTGATGAAGATGAAAAATAAAGCAAAAATAGATAAAAAAAAACAGTGCTTGCACAAGTAGTCGCAAAATACCTACAGAAGTCATTATTCAGAGAGGAATATCCTTCACAAAATGAAGTCAGCCTCTAGCCTGTCTAGTCATTTCATCTTTGTTTGATGAGTAGTCAGAAGTGTTTTCAGCGTTAGAAATGCCTTTTTTTTATTTGGAAAGGAAGTTTTAACACCCACCAATACTTCATCCTCCTCTGTACAAAGAAAAACGTTTACCTTCAACTTCGTAAACCGATAACTGCTTGTAAGACTTGGTGTGTAAAGTTAAAGCACATTGGCAGAAAACTTTTATTGGGGTAACATATCTTTATTTGTATCGAAGAAAGTAGAAAAATTAATTTTTTCTTGAACGACGACTTTTAGCAACCATGAAACATGTCATCGAAATATTTTGTATATTTCGATGACATGTTTCTTCCTGTCCAGTCAGCCTATCAAGACGTTTCGTATGAAGTAGTAATCATACTTGCTGATGAGTTCAAATAGTTGAATATGGACCTGTCAATTGTTATGGAGAGCGCCCATATTTTTCTAGAGTGTGTTGCGTTACGTAATTATTAAAAATAGAACGAAGAAGTTTCTAGAACATTTAGTCATGATGACTAAGCGAGAACTTTAAGGAGAACCTTCTAGAACCGTGACTCAGCATATTTTTGTTATGATGTAATCATAGTGTAATGTTTCTAAAAATAGCAATATTACAGATCTCTAGAACATTCTAGAACTTTTCTGAAAGATATATAAGGAGTCACGCTAGCTTAAAGANAGCATTTTAATTTCTTTTTCTGTCGATTTACTCGTTGCAAAAACAATTCAACCGTTTGCTCTTTAAAATTCCTAGACCAAAGAAATGAACAGTAAAGCTGGTATTTCTGTACAGTAGGCAGTTAATATTTATCTAGTAGATTATTGAAATGGAAAAATTCTATATCATTGTGATTATAATATCCAAGTATAAAAAGAAATAATTCAGTCCAGTCACTGTAGCTTGAAGCAATTACTTAAGGTATTACCTCTCCTCCCTGGTGGATAGGATACATGCCATGCCAGTCTCTGTGGCTTGAAGCAATTACTTAGGGTATTACCTCTCCTCCCTGGTGGATTGGATGCATGCCATGCCAGTCTCTGTGGCTTGAAGCAATTACTTAGGGTATTATCTCTCCTCCCTGGTGGATTGGATGCATACCATGCCAGTCTCTGTGGTTTGAAGCAATTACTTAGGGTATTATCCCTTCTCCCTGGTGGATTGGATGCATCCCATTCCAGTCTCTGTGGCTTGAAGCAATTACTTAGGGTATTACCTCTCCTCCCTGGTGGATAGGATGTATGCCACGCCAGTCTCTGTGGCTTGAAGCGATTACTTAATAGGGTATTACCTCTCATCCTTGGTGGATAGGATGCATGCCATGCCAGTCTCTGTGGCTTGAAGCAATTACTTAGAGTATTACCTCTCTCCTCCCTGGTGGATAGGATGCAGGCCATGCCAGGCCTGACCCCCAGCATTGTATCAGGTAGATCTCCCTGACAGTTACTCCATTACCTATTCGTATTCATGATTTGGTAGAGGCTTTTTAAAGTACCTTGCCCAATATTTTTAATCTTAAGTTCAAGTATATCTATCACTGCAAACAGCTGACTTGAACACTTCGCAGAGCCTAGCTATGCTCAGCATATAGCTAAGGTAAGAGGAAACGCCAACAGCTTCATGCCAAGCCCAGAGGGATAGGATTTGTCTCCTTGACTTTTGTTTTCTTCCATGCGACACCGGCACTTCATTTCAAGCTCGCGGGAAAACCTAATTAACCATCAAGCTAAGATAACAATAAACAATACAACCGATGTTATTAGTCTGAAAGCTCAACAACCAGGCCTTTTTATTCTATTTATTCTTTATTATTATTATTTGTGTCATACAAGTGATTTCCTAAGATTGGCTAAAGCCAAAGGCTTAAATGGCTTATGGTCAGAGACAAAGACTAATTTTTCAAAGAACAATAATCTAATCTAAGGTATTCTAATCTAATCTAATCTAATCAAATCTAGGTAATAAACAATAATCGGGGTATATTAGAAATTCAGTATAATGTTCACAAATTTATAAAGAGAAGTAGATTAATCTAAGTAGTAAACAATAGTCCGGGTATATCAGAGGTTCAGTATAATATTCAATTTTGGTAGCTAAAAATTTAATTCAGGTTCAAGAAGTACAATTTAAGCTTCTTTTTGAAGTTACTAATGGTAAGGCTGTTACGGAAAGTCAGAGGGATATCATTCCAAATAGTTGGGGCTTGGGAACAAATAGCAAATTGATACCTACGCGAGAATTTGTGTAAGTTGAAACAAGAGCGAGTTGAATAATCATGAAACTCACGATTGAAATGTAAAAGCGAAGAAAGAGTGGCAGACACAAGGTGATTGAAATATGAGAAAACAAAACAGGATACATGGAATTTGTAGAGTAAGTGGAGTGAAAGAATATTGAGCTTAGAAAAAAGAGGTTTAGTATGTGTTAGTGGAGGAGAGAATGTAATAATACGAATGGCTTTCTTTTGTAGTATATAAAGTGGTTCGAGGTAGGAGGCAAATGTAGACCCCCAA